TCTTAAATACAGTTAAAGTCAGAAAACTGAAATATCTGGGACATATTATGAGGGGCGAGCGTTATAACTTGTTGCAATTAATAATGCAAGCAAGAATACAGGGTAGAAGAAGTCGCGGAAGAAGACGCATCTCCTGGTTGAATAATTTGAGAGCTTGGTTTAACTGCACTTCTGCTGACCTCTTTAGAGCAGCAGCGTCGAAAATGCGAATTGCCATGATGGTTGCCAACCTGCTTAGAGGAGATGGTACGTGAAGAAGAAGATTTGATTTCTCTTTTTCTATGTACTGCGGGATCAGTATTCTGAAGTGCTATGTTTCCCGTCCTGCCCTAGGGATCAGAAATATGGATCACAACAGATGCCATGCTTAGAAAAATCAAAGCTTTCGAGATGTGATGTTATAGTACAATATTGTGCATTACACGCGGTTGGATGAACAGACCATGCAATGAAATCTTGTTAAGTAAAATAAAGATAAAGAAATCGTTGAAACCACAAAAGTAAACACCCGGTGAAGTACAGCGTGTTACTTCTGCATCATAGTGATGGAAGAAAAAAAATCGGAAGACGTTCAGAAGAACATCATGGTTTGAAAACCTGAGACAGTCTCCTTTCTAAGTTCTCCGTTAAGCGGTTTTTTATACAACAACCTAAGAAGAACATCTCACTTGAGTATGTCAGTGGTAGTAAATTGTTTTATAAAATTTGATCTGTTTCGATAATCTCTACCAAAGGATAATAAAATTACTTATTGAAAGTGTGTCTGATTAAAAGAAACAATGATAATGTAGAAAAGGGGTCAAATGAATGTAATTGTATTAACATTTGGAAGGAGGTGTAGCTAAGCACTTTATATTAATGAGAAGGAGTAAAGCTTTAAATATAACCAGTACAAGCAAATTTTTTACCCATTTATAATAGTAGAAATAATTTTATTAAAATAATCCTAATTTTATCCGGCCACTTTAATAACATAATTACCAAAAAAAATTACTTTTAAACTTAACTTTTAAATAAATAAAATATGTTTATGAGTGTCAATGTCGAAAAGGGTCAATATTAATAATGCCACCATCTACAATATCACAAGTTTTACAATATACAATACAAAACAGATAATAAAACCAAATCTTTCCGCAGGAACACCATCTTCAACGTGCAATTGTTGCTGGACTCATCATTCCGACTCCCGAAGTTTCCGAATTGCCAGACAAGGATTTCTATGAAAAGGTCTATCCAGCAAACTATAAGCAACCCCGACAGCTTATCCATATGCAACGTAAGCATTTTTTACTTACCTATTAAAAATAAAAAATATAGAGTGAGTTTTAAGTATGGAACAACTTAAATATCTCCGAAACGATTTGTACAATTTTTATAGATTTTGGTGTCTTGTGATGCGACTGATTATGACGGTATTAACATTGTTGTCAGATCTTCTGATTTTCTGGAAATCTAATTTAAAATAGAACATCCTGTATATTTTTTGACTTCTGAAGTCCTTAAGAAATACTGATTGTTTTTCATGTAATGTTGCCTATATCTAAATGCCATTATTTCGGAGCCATTGCTACATTTACATTATCTTGGCGAGATTAAAATAATCCTAGTATATAGAAAATGAATTAATACTGACAATCTTAAGTAGTTTTTTTGTTGATGGTAAATTTTTGGTGACCGGATTCAAGGCTTACAATATAGGCCCCATCATCAGACCCTAGTTCTTATTAGTCGTTGTTTAGTGAAAACTACGAGATGTCAGATATAGAAAATGCTCTATTCACGAATTTAATTTTGCAAACCACCATCCCCCTCAAGGAATCCATTCACTCAAACATAGGAATGTCTGTAGGTTATATTGTATGCATGTACACTTAGTTGCAAAAAACGCAACGGAGACAATTTTGGTCAAATTTAAAGTATTTCAGTTTTTTTTTTATTTTTAGCCCTATTTTGATGATTTTTTTAGCACACTGTAAAAATTTATAAATTTTAATTTAGTATAGTGAGTTTTTTCATTAAATTTTGTATTTGACTTATTATGCGGGGTTAATCGAAAGGTGGTTTTTTATTATAACTTTGAAACATCCTGTGGAACAATTATGTTAGCGGATTTTCGTAAAACCTTGTTTGTCGGTTGCAACCATGTCTTCTAAGTATTATGTTTTTTGTTTCATGTGAAAATATAGTTTGGTTCATTTTTACGAGCGAAATGACTTTGCCACCCACAATTTACGACTTTTCCTATTACCATTATCTTTTGTATTAATTTGTAATACGACGATGAGAGCTTTGATGACTGATATCGAAGGAATGTCATATCGACATCCCAGAAGCACTGTATTTAGATAATGATTAAAAGCAACGACATAATCTTGGCTTTAATGAACAAGGATAACAATAACAGAACATTAAAAAACAACTTAAACGTAACTTAACCTAAGTACGCAAATAACGTAGAAAAACTACTAAAAAATAACTTAATACTTTGTATTGGGTCCCTAGCCCCATTAACTGCATGTACACGTCGGCTCATGCTGTCTATGAGTTTGCTAATATCAACTTGCTAGATATTTTGTCATTCTTCTTCTAGAGCCAAGCGAAGTTCGACACTACCATGATCAATCAAAGGTAAACAAAATGTAAGTGTCAATATGACACAATGACAACAGTCACCAAAGCCACCTCGTTGTATTACAAAATAACTCTAAAATAATAATCATAATTAAAAAAGACTTAAATTGTGGGTGGCAAATTCATTTGGCTCTAAAAAACTGAAGCAAGGCATATTTTGACATAAAACAAAAAAATGCTTAGGAGACATGGTTGCAACCGAAAAAAAAGGTTTTACGAAAATCCGCAAACTTAGGATAATAAAACCCCGTACAATAAGTCAAATATAAAATTGTATCAAAAAACTTAATTACTTTGAATACTTTGACCAAAATTTTCTCAGTTTCGTTTTTTTTTGCATCTGAATGTATTATATACTTTAAATGTAATAAGTTGTTTTTCTTTACTTTTTTATTATTTGTTTTACTTAGTTGTGTTTTTTGTCAATGGTTATAATTTATTAAAATTACAATCACACATTTGCTCGAGATGTTATGTTATCTTGTCATTTTGTGAGGTTGATCTTAATCTATTTCGTGTCGCAAATTTCATGACGATCGCCTCAGCATTTTACGATAGATAAAAATTAATACAACGCTAATACCGAAGCTTGGCTTTCAAAACAGAAGATCTGAAAACGATGTAAATAACACCATAATTTCGGCCGCATCGCAAGACTCTTACCAAAATCTGTAAAAATCGTGCAAGATTTTTCGAGATAATTCAGACATTCTTTACGTAAAAGTCACCCTGTATATTACTTGAAGTAATTTAAAAGAAATTTTTGTTTTTACGTTCGCTAGACATCTACCACTAATAAAATTTCAATAATCTCCACATTTTGAAAATGGTTAAGGGGTAAATATACTGTAGAAGAATAAAATAAAAAATGTTGTGATGTTTCTTTTGCTTTAATGGAAAACTAAGGATAATAATAATCCGTTCCTGGTCTAATCATAATCCATAATATTGGAGAAACAATTACCCTGTAGTTGCAGACAATATATTTAATATTTGAACCTTCAAGAGTATTTTTACGAAGCGAGGATAATATTGTAATTACCTTTTTGCGTGCCATTAGCCTGGAATTTTTTTCGATAAAAGGAATATTATCTTCATCTTTAGCAAGACCATCAGCAATCTCATTACCATATTACCTGTAATCCCTTATGCCTTAGCACCAACAGCAAAGTTACTTTGTCATGCTCTGCCAGTTGTTTATGCTTTCCATGCAGCCTAGATGTCGATTAAATATCGATATACAAAAGTCGATTGCCAGCAGTGTTGCTTGAAATATTCTAGTATTTTCTATATTCTATATTTTTGACAGACAATAACAGTCTGGAGTTTGAACTAGTAACCTATATCCCTACTTCCTCTTGTGTTTTTGACCCATCAGTTCAGGGATATAATCATAACCAAGGAGCAATCATTTGTTAATAAATATTACATAACATAATTATGTAATTTATCTTCGGAATGTTGTTTAAGAGAATTTGGTGTGAATGAATTGGAAAATGCTGGATTTAAGATGCATGTTATTTTAAAAAATCGTCTGTAAAAAAGAAAAAGGCCTTTAAAATTTTGAGATGTCTTAGGAACATATTTTGGAGTGGCACTTTACTAACATACTTTCGATTCAAAATGCTTCAAAATGTTTTAAAAAAACTCAACACATACATTTGTAAATCCCTTAAAGAAGTTAGGAATCAAAAGAAAACACATTAGGTCTATACTCTTTCTGCGGGATAAGCATCACAGGAAAGAACTTTAAAGAAAAAAATTGGAGAGGTATAAGATCTTTCACCCTTATTCTGCGAGGCATACACTAAAAGTTTTGCATAGAGCCATCTAGACTAGAGGAAGTTACTCAGCTTTGTAAATATGATTTCTGTAAATTTTAACATTTTTTACCGTAAACATTTTCATATGATTTATACGATTTCAAAGCGGGCTTAACAAAAAAACAATGACTCAATCCACTTAGTCTTGATTTTGTGATAAAACACCAGACCCATTAACTGTTCACAGGTGGTTTGAAGAATTCAATCCTGGCCGCACCAGTCTCAGTGACGAAATCCTGACCTCAACTGTTGTCATGTATGAATGAATCGTATAATTTTATTGCAGGTAAAAGAGTTTCGACCACTCGCTCTAGCGTGATCGACACCCAGCTTAAGTAATAACTAAGAATAACGCTCTGTAGCGTAATAGGACCAAAAAGGTTTAGCCATTTTTAACAAAAATATTTTTTTTGAGAATTCAATACAATATAGTAGTTTTGCCCCGTAAGATGAAGAAAACAAATTATGTCCGCAATCGCTCTGATTATTTTAAGGTAAATAAAACAATGTACATATGTATTTTTTTTCTGTGTAGCATTCACAATGGAACAGGATATTCCCGATTATGATATGGACTCTGATGACGAGAGATGGCTTCAAGCCCAGACGCAAAAATTGGATTTAAGTCCAGTCAAGTTTGAAGAGATGATGGATAGGTTAGAAAAGAGCAGTGGTCAAACTGTTGTCACCTTAAACGAGGCCAAGGCGCTTCTCAAAGAAGACGATGATCTCATAATAGCAGTATTTGATTATTGGCTGAATAAACGGCTGAAAACGGTAAGTATTTTCTCTAAACTAATTAAAAAATTAAAAAAAAAAGAATATTATAAAATATATTTATTACTTAATGGTTTAGAAAAGAAAAATTAGCAAGGTTTTTTTGGTGATACGCCGATTTTTTTAAACTCGTTCGAAAATAATATTATTTCCTCACAGTAATTGAAATGATGGTATGATGGTACCCAACGTTCTGAAATGACATGGTACATGAGGAAGAAGAATTGAAATACTTAAAAGTATCATACATGTCTATCATTCTTCTTTACGGGCCATCTCCCTGGCGGCGGTTGGCAATCATCACAACTATTCTAATCTTAAATGTGTATCATAAACACACATATTTTAAGATCTTTGTGAATGTTTGACAGAGAATTTCTCTTAAATAAGTTGCTATACATGTTACCATAAGAATTATAATTCCTTCTTGAGATCATTTATTACTAAAATATTAAAGTAGTCCTCAAGTACAATAACTATCCCTATAAAAACCAGGAAATTGTAGAAAACAATTAGGATGTTTTTTTGAAAAATGAAATACTTGAATCCAAAAAATACAACAAAGTACAAAAATATGAAGATGTGAGAGTCGTTTGGCTGGTAGACCTTCCACATTGGGCCCTGAAACAATTTTGTGTCTTTCCGACATGTATGATTTACTCCAAAAGATTTATACTTCTAAGAAATCCTATTATCCAGTTTAGCCACATGTGAAATATCTGGTCAGATTATACAAAAACCTGTTTGTTATTTATAACTCTGGCGAACAATTGCACTATGCATTAGCCGAGCACTGAGCCGTTTCTTCAGCTTTTTCGCACAAAATGCATGTTGCATTTTGCCAATTTTACCAGCAATATAATGTACAGTAGGAATATCTACGATTACGATTACACCTGAGTTCAATTTTCGGAAGCTCGTAAGAGTATTTTTGCTTAGCAAGTTAGTGATAACCTTTTTGCTTGCTTTTGAACAGGAATAGTTTCTGTTGGAATCCCTTTTCGCTGCCTACACAGCTATTGAGAAAAACTGAATATTAAAATGAAAATTATGTATATATGAAAATACACCTTTCTTACTGTGGACAACAACGTTAGCGAATAAATTAAAAGAATAGTCCTTGCCATTAAGTGTTACTATGGCCTGGGAAGACAAATGACCTCAAAATTTACAAGAAAAATTAAACTGATCGTGTATTATAGAACCTATAAGACCAGTTTTAACCTACGGAGCTGAAACCTGGTCACTCACACAGCATTACCAAGAGTTGCTTAACTGTTCTGAGTGAAAGGTTCCTAGTAAGATATTATTCTAAGAAGAATTTACAGAGGATTAAAAGAGCAGAGTTTGTGCCGTTTATATAGAAACTTCAGGAAAGCTGACTTGAAATTCATTAAGGTAGCACGTCTCAGATGGAATGGGGCATATAATCAGAAAGGGGGAAGATATTGAACGAGGATGACCAGTGGAATGACATAGAAGATAGACCAAAACGGGCAAATTGGAAGACCCCAAATAGGTATCTGGGCAAATTGGAAGACTACTTAAAACCCATTAGGGTTAAAGGATGGATGAGAGTTGCTAGAGATAAGACGGAATGGGAGAAAGTTCTAAAGAAGGTTTCGTTACATAAAGGGCTGTAGAATCAATGATTATGATGAAGAAAATACGCTTTATGCATATATGCTTTATGTCCAGCAGTAATAATAAAGTTACATTGTTGTTTTTTGCCAGTTTCTTAAGGGACATCCTTCTACTTACTTACTTCTACGTACTTAAAAATTATAATCAAATTTAGTAGTCATCAAATACTGTATGTATCGAGATAAAAACTAATATCTAACTTTTTTTAGCAACATCCTTTGATTTTGACCGTAAAAACGGAAATAAGATCTGGTACTGCAGCTAACAACCCATATCTGGCATTTAGGCGACGAACAGAGAAGATGCAGACAAGGAAAAACCGCAAAAACGATGAAGCTTCCTATGAAAAGATGCTAAAACTGAGAAGGGATTTATACAGGTAAAAATATTTGACCAGTTATTTTATTAATTCACTATGTATAATATATAATATAACTAAAACTAAGATTATTATTATTACAAAAATTCTTTACTAAACCGAGTTTTTGATGTCCTTTCTAATGTCTTCAGCAGGAGTTCAGCTCAGTTTTCAGCAGGGCTCAGTCTTCCTGAGTCCCCAGAACCTACACTGTTCACTACTTACTGCACTGTGTATAGTGTAGGGTGTGGAGGCTGAGGAGACTTAAAATTCGGAAGCCCTGAACAAGACGGCAGAATGGATTTTGAAAGCTCGGTGCAGTTTTAGGTTTAATTGTAAGATCAGCCGAAACTTTTCCAAACATTTTCTATTTAAATGTGTATAGTCTGTGATGTTTCTACGTTTACAGTCTAATATTATGTACATATTTGAAGCACCAAAGTTGAATTTCCTCCAATTAACAATAGACTTGAAGGTCGTAAAATTCTGAAAAGATATTTAATGGAGTATTGAATTGAGTTTACTGTTGACCACATCTGTAGGCTTAGCATTATCTTGGATCATGGCAAAAAGTGATAATGAGTTTGGTTTACTTTGAAAAAGTCTTTGATCATATCAAGCGAGAGCAAATACGAAGGATCTTGCGACAATATGGAAAACCAGCAAAATAAATAACTTATCAATTTATTCTGTGAAGGATATACATCCTGACTGGGACACTCAGGAGAGGCCATGAAAGAAATAGCCAAAGAAAGCAGAGTAAAACAGGATTGTGTCTTGTCTTCTACAACGTTTTTAATTGTGGTACACTAGATAATGAGAAAATTAACTGATGATCGCAGAAGTATTATTAGAACCAATTAGAAATCTTGAATTTAAAAAACTTGTTCGAAGATTATCCAGACAATAAAAAAAAGCCAATCAGCCATCTCACATTACTGATCTAAAAACGCAGAAGCCCCCAATACTCCATAAGGAGTGATGGAATTAGAGATAGAGAGATAGGTTAAGTTATAGTGCCCCTAGTTGGACACGGAGCAGTATTTTAGTAAATTCAATTTTGGAGTGTGATTTTACCATTGACAATTCACCTAAAAATTCCATAAATTTATAGGTTATTAGATAGATAGCCTAATCTTAAAACATAGATTTTATAAAGTCGAATATTTTTTTAGGGCTGTGACACTGTTAGAACTTGTAAAGAGGCGAGAAAAAATCAAGCGAGAGTATGTGCATCTTACTGTCGAGGTTTTTGAGAAACGCTTCCAGGCCAAGGACTTCAGTGGTGCTGTAATGGCAGAAGCTTCGGCTATCAAATCATCCAGACCTGCATTTACACCAATATTTCACAATCACTATCCAAATCAGAGTTGGGCGAATAAGTCTATACTTAAAGATGAGGTAAGCATATACCATTACACAGTATATAACTTTAATTAATGCATAATAATTAAGTAAAATACGTCATTTAACAAATTTTTAGAGCTAATATCATTTTTATCTTGATTCTAAAATGAAACAGGAAGATTAACATAATTGAAAGATACTTAACCTTTTTTATTCTAATCAATCTAATTTTGTACCCACCAGTTGTGCGTTTGTGATTCTTTTTATCGTGTTTAACTCTAATGTTTTTTTCCACCGCACTTTTGCTTGTGGATGTATTACTTCATTCAAATTTTTATTATTATTTAGTATATGTATTGACTGCAATTTAAATAATTTTTTGCACTTGAAACAATATTTTTTTACAAAACATTCTTTGTTAGAATCATTATCATCATCGATCTGTATGCGTCCACTGCTGGACATAAGTCTCCCGCAGCTCGTTCCACTTTTCTCTGTCTTGTGCGGCTTGCGTTTTGTCCATCGGTCCATACGATTTCACAGTAGAGAAAATTAAATACAATATATTTTAGACATCTGAAAACAGATTAGCTAGAAAATATTTACACATATGAAAAGGACAAACAAAAGAAGAAACTATGAATATCTCAGATTATAAAAAATTTGTAGTTAATACTTAATATGTTCACATTAAAATAAAAAAGGTATTAGTGGAAATGATTGAATAAAATTTTGTTAAGAAAATATTTTTATAAATATAATTATTATTTTTAGGTTATACCACGAAGAGAAAAACGACAGTACAAAAAACGCAAACACAAATCGCTGGGTGGTAATCGATCTGGAAGCTATGGAGTTGATTCTTTGGGTGGTATGTCTTCTGATGATGAGGTGACCATGTCCCAGTTATCTCCAGAAGCAGATGAGGCTGAAGATGAAAGCCAATTTGCATTCAAAAGGAACAAGCTATGTTCTTATCATAGGGTAAGATTTAATACACCATTTTTTAAATCCATTGTATTCAATGACAACTTGGTAATTCAGTTGAAATATTTGTGAATCAACTGTATTGGGAGTTCTGTTTCTCTTGTCCAGATATGGAAATATGTACTAAAATTCTATGTTACAAAAAAAAACAAATATTTTTAGAATAAAATAAAGCCATCTGCTTATTATCATTAATTAAACAAAAGTTACTATGGTCTTTTAAGAGATTAAATTCATCATTTCATTCAGTACTACTGAACTTGTAGTTCATCCCCTCTAATTTTTTGATAAATGTTCCTAGATTTATATCAGTCCAATCTCAAATATAGAAATGTGGAAGATAATCGTTTTTTGGCATAATATGTGGTTTCAATACCTAGTTGATTACTTTATGAGTTTGTGGGAATTATTCACTGCTCAATTTTCAGACTGCAAATCTTCCATGGCAATTTTGCATAATGTTTCGTAGATTTCTGTTTTGAAAGTTTCGAGCCTAATTTTACACAGCCTAATTATTAGTTTATTTGCATGACCTAAATAGTATTCTTTTGTGTTCATTTTTACATAGAAATTAACTTTTTTGTAACGACGTTTTCCGGATAATGCACCCACCATTAACTTTAGCTTGTCTTGTGGTAACGCAAATTACAATTATATTATCGCACAGATTTTAAAATGATCTATTTCAGTAGTAATAAAACGATGTGATGGATTCTAGTCCCGTCTAGACAAAAAGAGTCCTTCCGATCGGGTAGTCTGTCAAAGAATTAAGGCGAAAATATGTAATTTTGTCCATAAAAGATTTTTGATGTGTTTTATGATAACTTCGAACTTTATAGATTTTACCAGGAACCAGATATTATCAAATACATTCGGACATCTGAGCTGTTTATGGCATGGAATGTCGATGGAACAAACTGAACCAACTAGAAAATGCTTCTTGGTGGATCCATTTGCCAGAGAAGAGGAAGATCCAGAACAAAGTTCCTTTATAACATCTCGTTAATAAAAAAATGAGAAGATCCACAGAGGGTTGTAAAGGCAGAATGATAATGATGATGTGTTTTATGTTGGAATGAAAAATTTGGGGATGACTTCTAGTACTCATAAAGACTGTTTTAATAAAAAATAATTTTTTTTAAATATCGTCAACATAGATCTTATTCCAACTATTCTTAGTCCAAATGCTAAAGCCAACTTGTATAGTAATTTTCTGATTAAGTAGTTTCTGTACTTGATGTATCAATGATCAGTTTTTTTACACGGATTGTAGATTTTCTCAAAAATGGTCCTATTCTAAAAAAATTGTCTTTACAATATCCAAATATGTTACTGTTCAGTAGAAAAGTAATTTGCCTGAAATGTCTTTTAGAAAAGGTTTAATAATTTATATATTATAGTCTATATTTTACTCAAAAAAAACTATAATTTTAATATCATTTAGTATCGTTGTCTTCAAATATTGTAAGTTTTATATTGTAATTCTAATTTTTAAATTTTAGCCACTTCCACATGAAGGCAACTGGCGGTGGGCGTCAAAAGAAGAGAATGGTTTAGCAGATAAAAGGTTCCGATTTACGTTAACATCCCTCTCGAATCCGCGTCGGTGTATAGGCTTCGCTCGAAGGAGGGTTGGTAGAGGCGGTAGAATAATTCTCGATCGAATTTCAACAAATTATGACGATTTCTGGAGGACATTAGATTTCTCTATAACGGAACCGGATAGAGAGGCTGGTACTAGTAGAGTTGTCGAGGAGGAGCCAGTCCTTATTCAAGAAACTGATATTAAAAGTGAAGTTAGTGTTAGTAACAGTGCACGGATAAGTGATAGTAGTGTGATTAGTGATAGTATTAAGGTGGAAATTAAGAAGGAGCCGGAGGATGTGCAAGAGGAGGGTGTTACACAACTGGAACCTGTGTATACTAAAGAAGAGAATGATGATATGGTTGATTTTCTTCGATCGCTTAGGAGGGATTGGTAAGAATTAAAATATTCATATACATTTATCGAGACAATATTGAAATCACTAATTGAGTTGAAATCACTGTATTATTGAATCAGTTTAAAAATCCAGATTTGCTGTTGGTATGCATTGACTGACAGATTTGGCCTCTAGAAAGATCTATATTTGTAGAAAGAAATTAATGGAAATTAATTAAGTATTAACAAAAAGTAATAAAACAGAAAATAATATTCTTTTCCTTATAATATAATAAAGCCAAATTTATAAATATTATAACTTTCTGAGCCAATACAACATCTATCAACCCCATACAATATATGTTTAAGAAAGAATTTAGAAAAAAATTAAATGATTATAAAAAGGTTTTCTGTATTTTTTCATATTGTATTTTATTGAAGATTATCATGTTAATATTTATTTTTAGGTTACATTTTCGACCTAAAACGCCACCACCTGACTATGAAGTTCCCTGTGATATGCTTCATTCTGAGGAGACATTCTTCGATCCCAGTGCCAACACCTTCTCGATGGAGATACAGACATTGGATGCACCTAGTTCTACCTTTCTGGATACCTCTACGTTTGTCTCAGATCCTTTCACACTCGACCAGCTGGACTTGGATACAAGGCAGCTCTTACCTGCTGCATCCACTCTCAATACGCTTATACCTAGTGTTAGTAGTGATAGTAACGAAAACGACAATTTCTTGTCAAGTGATTCTTCTAGTAGTGATAGTGACTTTAGAACTATTGGTTGTTCGAATTTTAAAGTAAATGATCTAGGTTTGAATGACAGTAATGTTACTACAAGTACTACAATGACGAAAAGTCAGCAAACAAAAGTTCAATATTCCAGTACCTCTGCTAGTCCTAAAGTAAATAGTGTGAATACAACATCCTCTTCGAGTGGGGAAGATTTTAAACCAACCAGAGGCAACTCTGACTCTTCTTTACTTGGGAATACCAATGGATTGTTGAGTCAGTTTTGCTTTGATGGTAAGAAAAGTATATTATTTAATTTACTCATTGTCTTGTGAATATAAGATATTGTACTTAAAATTACAAGTATATAAAGACAGTAATATATTCAATAAATCAAGCATTATGATGGATACAATGCAGGCAAGTATGACAATAGAGTAAATGAAAAACAGTAATATTGTTGAAGTAATAGGCAGTTCTTTTTAATCTTATATAAAATTTTTCATAATTATTTTCATGTATATAAATATATATATATATATATATATATATATATATATATATATATATAATATATATATATATATATATATATATATATATATATATATATATATATATATATATATATATATATATAGTTTTTACAACTTTAAGTCTATTCTCACATTCCAGACGCCATTTTTTTTGTCATTCCAGTCTTCTTCATGGAGACATCCAGTTTTCATTTTTCATTTTGGCGCAGATGTTTAATTCCATCTTTTTCTGCTGCATTCATCGTTTATTTCTGTGCTGGCATTTTTATGAGAAAAATCAAGTACATACATACATACATACATACAGATAACACATGTACAGGAAGGTGTATATTAATATAGATCATGGAGTATATAGTTGAAAAATACTCTAATATTTCTATATACATATACATATTTAAATACTTTACAAACTTGTTTTAAAAAAATCGGTAACTTTCTTCTGTTTCATGGTATTAAGTGAATTTTTAAAAGCTATATCTCTCCATTTTTTAAAAACCAAGACATCTATTGAAGATGACCCAGGTTGTTGTTCGATATACTTCATAGTCACCTCCATTGCAGCCATCGCTTCAATGTGGCCGACCTTTTCCTCTCTGTCAACATCATCATCATCAGTCTCTTCATTTTCATAGGATTCTTCATGTGTTGCTAGTGTAATTATTTCATTGTCTGTCAAAAATTCGTTTTCATGTTCCTCATAACAGTTAATCCATTCTTCAATACTTTCAACCTGCAATTGAACATTTCAGATAACATTTGGAGATCTTGACGAATGATGGTAGAATTATCTTCTTTGTGTGATTGTTGACACTAACAAGTTCCTCAATATTGGCCTAAACTTTTCATCAGGACTTAATGAAAGTAGAAGCAGGAATTTCTTGGAAGGTGGAAGCTAACATGTAAATTACATCCTTTAAGTTAATTTTTTGATGATATCAACAATATTGAGATCTTTACTTTCTGTCCATTGTAAAATTTCGGACAGTAATTTACGTCTGTATCGTCTTTTCAAGCTTACAATCAGCCCTTGATCCATCAGTTGCACCAAGCTTGTCACGTTAGGAGGAAGAAAGATAATTTTTATGTCATCTGTCTCACATGTTAGGTTTCCAGGATGAGTTGGAGCTTTATACAGAAGTAGGACTCCTTTAATGGAAATATTTACACTCTCAATATGGAGAAAAGAGCTTCATATACTATCTCGAATTTCGTTTTTTTTTTAGTGCATCTAGTTTTTAGATATTTATTTGATTCCACATTTGAGCGCAGAAATCCTCGATTGAACGCCGTTCCTTTTGCCAGTCATACACTGTACTTTTCCCCACATTCAATTCTGAACAAATTTTCTTTACCGATTCACCTTTGTTAATCAGTTTAAGCATGCTTAGTTTTTCCATCGTCACAACCACACATTTACGCTTCTCACTCATTTTCGCAGAAGACGAATTCAATCCTTCTCAAAAGCAAAAACAGAACCGGTTAGAATGGGGAAGTGGCCGGTTAATACGACGGCTGGTTAATGTGGGACCGGTTAAGAGGGAGTCAACTTTGGCAAATAAAACAATAAATTTTGCCCCTGATCAGCTGATAATCTAAAATTCTGAAAGTGAGCTACAAAGAGCTATCTACAAACTATATCTAGTGTGTAAGAAGTTCAATATTAACATAATGACAAAAAAGATGAAAGTTCTGGCATTAAAGAACATTATTGCTTAAGAATAGTGCCTGATGATTGTCCACTAGAACAAGAGAATCATTTTATTTAACTAGGGTATAACATAAGATACAGATGTTGATCACAAAATTGTCTGGTTACAGTAAATATGCAGAACAAGACAAGAAACGATACAATGATAAATATTCATAAGATAAATGGGCATATCTATTCTGATATATAGCTAGTTGAATGAAACTTCTTAGAAGAGTGAAAGGTAACAGAGAGACAGAGAAATGAAGACAAGTAACTGAATATCCATTTAATTGACGAGAAAAGAATAAAGAACAAAATGAAAACAACTTATAAACAGAGTGGTTGAAAATTACTGGAATCAAGAAAAAAACTTTCATGTATACATAAAGGAGAAATGCTACTGTTGGTCCCATTGACTTTCACATTAAAATCCGAATCATAAAAAATACTTGCTGGTTGTTCTAGTACTTTCCAGGTAAATCTGATAGATCCATAACCGCTCAGTAGATTTGGGTGCCCTAGGATAAGACATATCTAAAGAAATTAAACTACCCTTTCTATCACACTAGTGTTATTAGATCAAACAGTTGGGCAAATAAATTTATTAATGATATTTACATGTGAAAAGGATTTATATAGCGACTATTAATGTTTACATATTGTAGCTTATTACATGTACAAAAATATTTCTAAACAAATTATTGGTCAAGTTAAAGCAGCTGCACATTTCCTGCTAATTCTGGGTACTAGTTGGTAGATACAGTCTTTTTTTTTTTTTTTTTTTTTTTTGGATGAGAATCTTCTAAAGAGATCTGGGAAGAGGACCCAGATACTGTTGGATTCGTCTGAACTATAACGTTGGAATGTTGATAAGGTTAGTTCAGGCGCCTACCAACTAAACTCACCCTCTCTTCCAGCAGCGCACCCGGAACTTTTCTTGGCGAATGCAACTTCGGGAGCACCACCGCGGTCTCCAATTTTCACGAAAACCTAGTATAGTCCTCGGTAGATAGTCTCAAAGGTAGCTGAGTGACATAATGACAGTATAAAAAACAATATAAGTAAATAAATAGGACAGTTACACTATAAAATTAGTACAGAACGCTGTAGTATGTGTCTAATGAGCAAAAAACGCGAATAACAATTCTTATATTAATCTTTCAGCCTATTCCTTCATCCTGTCTCGCTCTTTCTAGCGTCTCCTTTTTTTTTATGATTTCCGTTATTATTTCTAACACATAATCATAGTTCTTTCTGTTCTGCATAGCTAAGTCCAGTATATTATTGGGCGTGGCCTCTCCTAGCTTAATTCTCAGTCTTTGACGTTCTTGTAGAAAGACATTACATTCGAAAATGCAATGTTCCGCGTCATCAGTCACACCACAATCCATACAGATATCGTCATTTGTTTTTTTAATTCTGTATGTATACGACCTAAAAGAACCGTGTCCGGTCAGGAATTGTGCAAAGAAATAGTTTATTCTCTTGAACCTACATTTGTACCATGCTTTTACATCGGGTATTAGTATTTTAGTCCATTGTGCTTTTTCCCTTTGTGCCTCCCATTCAGATTGCCATTCATCAAGGATCTGGTTCCTAATTTCGTCTCTTACCTGTGTCAGGTGGCCGTTGCCGTTATTGTATAGGATGGCTCTTTCTTTCGCTAGGAGGTGAATGGGGAGCGTACCAGCAATCACCTGTAAGGCTATCGTAGATGTAGTCCGGTACGCACTAACTACTTTAAGTGGTAGATACAGTCTGTGAATGTAAAAATGTAGAATGGTATTGAGTACTATGCTTTTAAGTGGAACAGACATGGAGATCTGTTGATATCAGCTACACAGTTACATTACCTCCTTAGAAGTATCGTGGACAAGTTCCCACTGATTTTTATAAGTGGAAGCCGGTTTTTATTTAGTTCGGTTCAGTTAAGAACACTATATAAACATATTTATTAATAATGTTATTATCCCATCGAGTATAAAATAAGGAAAGAGTATTAAATTTATAGTATAAGTAGTAGAGTAAATTTTTATTTGCATAATTATTTTAAAATAATTGAACAAATAATGTCACATTATTAATCACAGATTAAAAAAATATATATTGACATCACACATTAAAATATATTAACATTACAAATTAAATATGCTGATCAGGGAGAAGGATAGGCCAGGCATTCCGCCATAGTATAGGGCTCAATGTTACTAGTTGTTGAAAAACCTTTCTTTTAAAAGCTCTATAGTGTGTTTCCTGTTGAATGTTATAGTGGCTTCCATCGGCAATTCTACAGATCATCGCGGACAGCCGATCAGCACGGACGGCAACGCACCGCAGACAGAGCTCTTCCTACGGTCCGTGACAGTCTGTGTAGGTCCGTGACAGTATTGTTTTATTATATCATAAAAAGGCCACTCAGGCTTGTAAACATCATCAGCCCCACTACCAGTTCCCATCGATTCTCTAACTTTTGTTTTTTGCCTTCTGTATGTCGACATTAAATTATCTCTCTTCTTTTTTAATTCTTTAATTGAAATAGTAATATTCTTCAATTGATTTTTTATTCGGTTGCATGCATCGTTGTGGTTCTTATGTTCATCTTGATACAAATTTAAAAACTCAAAAACAACTTGGTTTGTCCATTCCATTTTTCAGTAAAAAACTGCAAAACAACTTTGACAACACTACAGACAGTTACTCGTCAGCGAATGAAAAACTTCTGTCGTCTGTTAAAACACAGACGCGCTAGAATCGCGTCGCACGAGCATGTACCGCACCTTTGATGTTACCGACTCTAGATGGATAGGACGCACCAGCACGGACGTGCCTGTGCTACCACGGACGGGACCCTTTCCACGGTGCGTGGTGCGTGCTGGTCCGCTTACGTCCGCAATATCGCCGACCACGGGAAGCCGCTATTAGATGGTAGACTATTACAAAATTTAACACACGCATATACAAAGAACTTCTCTCTGTTCTATGAAGTAGGAAATTCAAATTAAGGCTTCTTGTATTATGTTCATGATTGGGAAGCAGGTGGTAAAACCAAGTAATTTGTTTAAAAAGGAACATAATACATTCAAATATATAGATGGTTGAGAAAGTGAGTATATTAAGGGGTTTGAATCGGCCTCTACAAGATTTTCCCATCTTTAGTCCTAAGATCACCTGGACTGTCTTTTTGTGGACTGTAAAGACAGTTGAGCTATCTACTGCAGCACCCCAGAAGATTACTCCATGTTGCATAACATAATAAAAGTTTGCATAATATACTTATAGTAAAATCCCCTGGCCTAGATAGCTCTTCAACACTCTTAATGAGTAACAGGCTCTATTCAGTTTTTTTGTTGTATTTTGTATTTGTTCCCTCAAATTCAAGTTCTGGTCAATATGAAGATCAAGGAATTTAACTGATGTAGCAGGTTCTGTGTTTTGTGATAGAAAATTCTGTACTCATGACTGGCTGGTTCTAAAGTACAAAATCTGTCTTACAATGTCTTATCAGTATTAAGCAACAACTGATTTCTACTGAACCACTGGTTCAGCCTTGCTTAAAGTTTGTTCTGCCACTGTGAGGAGTGTTTCATATGTTTTTCCCAGAAAAGCACATTTACGTCATCAGCGAAATTTACAAGGTTTGAGGAACTACTAACCACAGCATTTGCAAGGTCGTTTATGTAGACCAAAAATAGAAAAGGTCCCAAGACGCTCCTCTGTGGTATGCCTACTTTTAAATTGATCGGTTCAGAGTAAACCTTACATCCCTTTTTCTCCAAGCATACTTTTTGTGACCTATCTGTGAGAAATTATTTTATCTATTTTAATGCCGGTCCCTCTATTCCAATAACGATGTAATTTTTGTAATAAGAGAACATGATCTAGGCTATCGAAAGCCTTAGATAGGTCCAAAAAAGCACCTAGTGTATTCACCTTTGCCTCTAATTTTTCTAAAATTTTTGATATAAAATCTTAGGTAGCTGTCTCAACAGATCTCCCTGATATAATCTGGAATATATCGTTTTTTAGAATGTTTTTGAGAATGATGGAAGAAGGCTTATTGGTCTATAGTTCTCCATCTTAGTAACATCACCTTTTTTATGTAGTTGCTTGATAATTTGCCAGTTTTAAACTTCGAGGAAATTTACCTTGCCTGACAGAAGCATTAACTATAAAAGAAAGAGGAAGAGAAATCTCTGATGAAACATATTTAATTAAGTTGGTTGATATTTCCTTGTAACTAGAGCTATTCCTGTTTTTTAAGTTATTTATTATGTGACTTATTTCTTTCTCTGAAACGGGAGTTAAAAACATGCAATGATTAGATACTATTTTAATTTGAATAAGCCACAATTGAAGGTTGAAATAAGTTTATTGACGTTTCAATTTCCACTTCGGAAATCATTCTCAAAATACAAACATTAATAAATCAATGATTTTAATTAATAAATTAATTTGATTAGATGTATGAGGGTTGAATACAGCAGAATCAAATATGTCAAGATTTGTATAAATATTATACAGGATTTTTTGTTACCTTGTATGCGTGTATAGTTTTTGATGGAAGGTTTAACATCAAATGGAGATCAAAAACATTTTTAAAGTGTCTGGCCACCTCGCCTCCTCAAACGGCATGCCTAAGTTAAAATCACCGGCCATATAAATGATAGTCCTTGTCAACTAAATCACAGAGTATTTGAATTTGTTTATTAAAACTTGTGGGTCTTATGTTCGGTACATGGATTTGATTATAATCTTCTTATCAATTCGCACCTCTGCAGCGGAACACTCAAACACCATTCTTTCTGATAAAATAGAAATATCTTCTCGGGCTTTTGGAATACACGTGTCTTTTATGTATACTGCACTGCCACCATGCTCCTGTCAACTACTTCTACAATATGAAGAGATCAGTTTAAAATTCCTCACATTAAAGCATTCATCATGATTTTCTAAGATAAAATTAATGGCATCAATACTTGTTCTGATTGCATATTTAAGTGTATTACTGATTTTCTTTTGGTGTGTGCCATAGACTGTCTTTTGACACTTCTGTACATTCTGAAAATGGTTAAAAATTACACAGTTCGGCCATAATTCTTGCTGCAATAAATCAGGTATTTTTAGTTCTGGAACAGCAATTGTAAATGAATTTTGGTTTATTTACATTTATATTTGTGAGTTTCAAACACTGTCCCTGTGTTTGTTAGTGCCTGTAGTCATCCCTCCTTTGGACAGATACTGTACTCAACAGGTACCTAAAAAATATTTTTGTCATGCTCTTAGTAACCATGACTGAGTATGAATACATAAAATTACCTATCTTATACACATTTCAAGGATATTTATAAATGTAACATTCTAGTGGCGATCCAGCAAAACAAATAGAAAACACCATCTAAAGATATATGCATTTCAATCCTCCCCTTCAACAACTAACATAAGAGCATGGCGTTGAGACTTAAAACAGCTTACCCAGTAGACCTGATACATAAAGAAAGGAGACTTTTTCTTCAGAGTAACCCCATCATGACAGAAAAGGAGCTATCAATTATTAATTCCTATGCCAGTAGAATAGCTTACATTGTTGAATCTTTGGCTGTTTTAATAATCTATTAAAAAAGAAATTTGGACTGAAACAGTTTTTAAATAATAGAACTTTACATTCTAAATATATTATGATTTGTTGAAAATCTTCATACAATCAACCTGTCTACAAAAGATCATATAACTGTAATATCAGATTTCATGTGATGTTTTTTATTTTTATAATAATTGCTTTCGTTTTTTACAGTACCTCCTTCTAGAACAAAAAATAATAAATTACAATACGCTTACTCCGGAGCAATGGGATATCCAAATGCTTCTTCAGGTACCCTAAGTCTTCACACTTCTGCGCATACCCTTACGCTTAATAGTCATAGGTAAGTATAAAAACCCAACGATTTTTTTATGTAATCGCAGTATATTTCTCTGAATCTTAAAATACTTAACAGTCTAACAGTCAAAATTGTAAACAAATTTGAACTTCAAATTTTAAGTAAAAATTTTGTGTTAAATAAGGATATGGTTAAAAATAAATATATCAAGGCGGCTTTGTCGATTTGTGTGAAAAAAATATCAGGTACATGTATAACATCAAACAAGTTTTGAGAATAAAAAAAGTCGATCGATCGAAAAAACCGAGGACAGCGTCTCCATAAGCGTTAATCTTATATAAGCGTCTATATTCGTTGGGTTTACTTACCTTACGCACAAAATCAAGTATTACGCAAACGTCAAAGTCTTGTTTATTAGTATGTTAAATTGAAACCAGCTCTTCATAAATCAGTTAAAAGTTAATGTTTTCTGTATATTATGATCATTTCACTTCGTCATATATATCTATATATTAACCAATGCATTTTTGTTTGTTTCAGTGCCAACATATTGGATATACCATTGACTAATGACACAGAAACAAATAAAATAGATTCAGAAGCCACTGGGGGGCCTGTATCAAGTAACAATAAGTCAAAAAGTATAGTACGAAAAAATAACATCATAATGGAGGTAACGTGATGATCATTTTGGCGCCTGCTATCCTCGTGGATTGCGGGATGAGGAATCAGTTTTTGAGTACAGGGTGTTGTATTACACAAAACATAAAAAACTCAGCATATATGCCTGCATGATTTCGGTGTTAAGTTATTGATTTATATAATATAGAAACTAGAACTCATGTATCACATGCTAAGAGGAGTTGAGAAGAAATATTTAAATGGATTTTCTCTGCTTTCAAATGATTTTTATTGTCGCAAAGTATAGTACAAAAATATTAGTATATAATGCAAATGTATAATAATTTATATTATAAAAAAAATCAAAAGCATCATATAAAATAACATAGTAATATTTCAGGTGTTTATCAAATATTCAGTCAGTCTGTCTCGAAAGTACAGATAATAAAACCGTAAAAGTAGCTGATGCACAAATTAACATCATATCTGACAGATTTCAATATTTTTCGTCAAAGAATCTTAGTGGAATTAATTGATTGATCGAATGATACATAATGTTAAATAAGTTGTCTAATGACTAGATGTCTTTTTGCAAATACACTAATAGCAGAAATTTAAGATGCAACTTTAGATACGCAAGTTTGAAAAGATGAATTCTCTGTACTTGTAAAAACGATTATTTTAGCAGTACAGCTCATTTGTAAGTTGTTTTTATGCAGCATTTTTAAACAAAATAAAAACTGAGAAGCTTGTACAGTAAACATTCGCCTTTGTGTAGATTAAACATTTTGATTAAAATATTCATGCAACATTATCAATCGATTTCATAATTTCATGTTTGATTTTATCAAATTTGTAACGTGTTACAAATGTGGCCTTCTGAAAAGAAACAGGAAAAAATTTACTCTGAACAGGAACTTGATAATATTCAACTCAACATGCTATATGTATTATAGATGGGACACAGCAATCATTCTTACCCTCGTCTGTAAATCTAGTTCACCATGCTGTCGATAATTCATATGTAACGGACATATAGTCTAGCTCAGTACAACGCGCTGTAAGTTCCGTTTCCGAACCGACAAGTTCGTTATCAATCAGTCACAATGTACCTACTCAGTCAGTACATTGTAGTATGTATCTTTGCAACTGTAATCGAATTTATGTGAGATTTATACTGCCATTAGAGTGGAAGTAAAGATGGCCGGTTTGGTGGAAGAGTAGTTGCACAAACCAGTCTCTGACATCGTCGCCAATTCTTGAACGATTGGTCAAAAATTATATATCAGTTACTTTTTATGAAGGGGTGGAGTTAAAAATAGGAACTTATGCATAAACTAAGTGTTTACGTAATGATTTCATAATAATGAGGTTATGGCATACTTCAGAGTTCATGTTGCAGCTCTCTTATTATTCTGTTGCAAACATGCAACATGTTGCAAAAAAGTAGATTATTCATTTTAGCTGGGGCAAAATACAAATGATTACAAATAATGAAATAAATAATGGCATTTATTAAAAAATGGAAATATAGTCAAACTTTGAATAAAATTTAACTGTATGCACAGATGCGGCCAACATTCTTGCATCGTCCAGGAAGGGACACCCCAGTGTGCTTGGGCATATGGTTTTCATTGTCTAGTTGCATAACTTCAAGAGGCCTTAGTTCAATCCTAGTTCCATTTAGATGAACAGGAACCTCATCTTTTGAAGGCCTCCCCCACTTTCGTTCTGCCTTGAAATGTCATGGCCCTGCTTGATGAGCTCCTCCGCTACCTCCATTCCGAAGTAAAATAAGTGTAGTTTTGAACTGATTATTCTTCCAAAAACAAACTTCTGGTTTGGAACTTGCTCGGCTTGCATCGATATGATTTCATTTGTTTGGGATATATGCACATTTCGATAAGCTTCATAGTAATCTTCAGAATTTGTAGTTGAATGTTCCTCATCCATAATTCTTTCATCGATAGCATCAAGGAAGTCGTCTGGTTGTTCAAGTATATCCTTCATGTCATTAGACAAATGATCTCAAATTTCTCTTGGCATTATATCTTCATCCCTAAAAGGCCTTATATATCAGAAACGTCCTAGCTTTTACGTATACAAAACTGATTAATTTAACAAGTTTTATAACGTAAATCACAAATGATGAGTCAAACATGAATATTTTGCAAAAAAAATATAACTTAAAAATAAACTATAGTGCCTACACAAAGCCCATCTTATAGCTTTATAACAATCTACTTATTTTTCAACTCATATATGAAGAATTACATCTTTTCAATAACTTAAATACTGTCCCGAACAGTGACAGGTCTAAGCTGTAGCTAAACCACTTTATACAAGTCTCGTAGTTATAAATAGTGTTTCTTAAACAAACGATTTCTTTTTTTTTATTTAAAAACTTAAGCTTTGTAGAATGTCAACACTGCAGTTTTTGTTAATGTGTATATAACATATGAGTGACCTAAATGAACCCATACTTCTTAAAATCCTTAACAATATATTAAAAATGATTTTTTGCATGGTTATAGGCATGATATACGCGATGTGCAATTTATAACGTGTTTTAAGAACAGATAAGTGTTACAATATTCCTTTATCTCATAAAACTAATAAATGATGTTTCCATGTTTGGTTGATGGCTTTCGTAAGAGTCCACACAAAAATATAATTCAGATACCGCACATAAATCATTTTATAAAGCAGAGAAAAATCCACTTCTTGATGTGTTCATGATGGTGATCATTAATAAGAAATTACTCATTTGTGGCTTTATTTCTATTCTTAGATTCATAAGCCGATTGATATCAATTTTCGGTATATCCTTTTTTCTGTTCTAAATTTCAGAAGTATAACAATAATAGCAAATATATCTAAAATTTTGAAAGTGTACAAACTCTTATTCTGTTTTTATAGTTTATTTGGGGATAAAACAAACCTATAGTAATGTATAGTAAATTAATAATACTGTTAATTTCATTCGAGATAAATTTGAACGGTCATAGCAAAGTGTGCTTGTGTGAGAAAATTGGATACACACATCAACTGCCCCTTACTGTATTTGGTTTTACGCAAGATCGTTATTTTATTCTTATTTAAAAATACTTCGATTTCGTTTCTTGTACCGGAAATTGAACTGAGTCTTACACTCAGTAATCAAACAGTTATTAGTACACCTGCAATCACTTAATATGTGTATTATATTATTTATTTGTTCACTTAATGAGCATTCAATGAAATGTTCGAAAAGATTTAAGATCATAATAGAGACGAATGTAACGTATTTGTAGATGATTCACAAATCTTTTACGTTGTTTCTCGATACTTGAAGAATTGAGAACGAGGCGAATAAACAGTAATAATGTTAGAATTTTTTTTACTAATTTTAGAAGTAAATACTTTTACCTTCATAAATTTATTCACCTTCAAGTTACAATAAACAATAAGTTCATAGTTTCACAACTATAAGCACAAAGTTCTCAGAAACTTGAATTCTTTAAAACGACTTTATTGCCAGCTTGCTTTTAGATTCTATCCAACACACGCAGTTAGAAGTAATTACAGACTACCGCTGATTAGTACTGAAAATAATGTATTACAAAAATCATTACATGTTTTGAAAACTATGAAATGAAAACATGAAATATAGAATTTATTTTATCCTTTGTTATTTTCAAAAATATGTGGTTCGGAGTATTTAGAAAGAAAGAAATTACAAAATTATTATAGTAGACAAAATCTAATCCGGCCAAGAAGACATTCAAGGTTACAAAAATTCGTATAGAGCTAAAAATGGGTATAAACGTTCAGGGCACCATTATAAATGAAATGTGAAAAGTCCTCGTTAATCCTACATTTGAAAAAATTTATTTATGATGAATTTTATCATAAAATACATCAGTCGAAAATTGTAGACAATGAAATTATGTATCTATAAAAAAATGTTTATATACTTTTACTTCTAAGAGTAACCGTTTCGGAGAAATAAAGATTAAAAAAGTGTGTTCTTAATAATATGCACTGGTTTCCACGCCTCCTGCGGGGGAGTGTGTTTGGGACGGTTTTTTAACGTGTGAAAATTTGAAAATGTTTGTATTGCTGTTGTTCTTCCTGCTAGATGCAAGTAAATTGTCCTAGTAGCGATTTATCAAATATCTCTTCGCTGATATCATATGAACCCTTATCTGATGGTGATTCAACATTAGACAGAGATAGACATATATTGTTTCTGAAATGAGTTAAATTGGTGTGTAAATAAATGGTTTTTTAATTCATGTGGAAGGGGGAATAACATAAGTTAGACGAGTATTATAAAAGGAATCTGTCCAAATATTCTCTTTATGAAGTACCCAACTTGACCTTGTATAAATATCTGAGTGCTCTATCTTTTGTAGCATAGAAAGTCTGCTGAAATGATGAAGAGAACAGCTAACCCAAAAGGCAATACCGTATCTCAAATTAGATTCAATCAAGGCTACGTAAACGCTTTTTGAAATCTTGAAGTTTAACTGGTGTGCAACTGATTTGACAGCAAAGCAACCCGATGATATCTTTTTGCTTAAATACAGTCTGTTGTTCAAATTTAAGTTTATTATGAATATAGAGACCTGAAGCCATTGCTTAGAATAATGTTGTTTAGATCATTCACAGAAGAAATTAATTTGGTTTTTGAAAAATGTATGTCAAATGATTAGCTTTGCAGAAGATTTTTAGCAGATCAATACTAATAATCTTATTCAGTACTTCGAAGTCCATGTTTTACCATAAAATTGTGGAGTCATCTGCAAATATTGTAAACCAGCCATTAATGTCGAGGTTAATTATGTCATTAAAATATACAAGAAAAAGATAGGACCCAAGACAGAACCTTGAGGTACGCCACAACCAATGAAGATATTATTAGAGTAGCGCTTACAGACTGGCATCTGTCTTCCAAGCAAAAACTGAACCGCTTTTGAGCAGTGCCTCTAAAATCATATCTTTCCAGTTTATTAAGAAGTATTTTGTAATTGACACAGTCAAAGGCTTTAGATAGATCATAGAAACAATGTTGATACATTGTTTTGTATACAAAATTGTCGACATCTGATTGAATTGTATGCTTATATTTATTTTGGATGTTTTTATTTTCTGGGTCATTAAGTTTAATTGATATTTTATTTTTATCATTAATATGATAGTTTTTTAACTCAGCCTTCAATAAATCGACTTTTTCTTGCAGCAAATAGTTATAGATTTTAAAAGTTCATTG